AACAGATTGGAGAAATGAGAGAATGGGGTCAAAGAAGCCAAGAAAAGAGAGACTCTCTAGGAGGAGGGGATGATCTACAAACATCAAACAGAGCAGAGAGGCTAAGGAAGATGAGGATTGAGAAAGAGCCTCTGGATTTAAAGGAATTCTCTACTGAGAAACCCTCTCTTCCCCACCACTTATTAGCATTGTCATCTTGTAATTATTTGGTATTTCTATTTGTTTCTATTATTTATTTAGAATTGATTTATAAATCAATAAACATTTATTAAGTGCCTACTATGTGTCAAGCACTGTGCTAAGTACTGGGGAAACAAAAAGAAGTAAAAGGCAGTCCCTGCCCTCAAGGAGCTAAAGGGGGGACAGCATGCAAACTTATCTATACAAAACAAGCTATATACAGGATAAATAAGAAATAATTAAGAGAGGGAAAGCAATGGTATTAAGAGGGGTTAGGGAAGGCTTCCTGTAGATGGTGGACTTTTAATTGGGACTCAAAGGAAGCCAGGGAGGTCAGACATCAGAGAGAAGGGGGGAGAACATTCCAGGTATGGGGAAACAGCCAGAGAAAATGTCCAGAGCTTATATTCATTTATATTTAATTAAATGATGAATATATTAGTATATATTTGTCATATCCCTCAGTAGAATGTAAGTTTCTTGAGGGCAGGGGTTATTTAATTTGTGTCTTTGTATCCAAAGCACCTAGAACATAGTAGGCACTTAAATTTTTTTAAGAACTTTATTGAATTAAATTGGTAGACCTAGATATAGTTGTAGGCAATGGAAAGGAGTCAGTTGCACTATGATAAGCACTGAAAATTCAAAGACAAGTCAATGAAACAGTCCTGCCCTCTAGGAGCTTCCATTTTACAGGGGATAAATGTAGCTGACATCTATGTGTATGCATACACACACACACACACACACACATTTATCTTTAAGATTCAAAATTGCTTCTATATACTATCTCTTTTGATTCTCGTTAGAACCCTGTGATACAGGGGCTATCATTGTATCTTTTATATACATTTGTCAAAACTGAGAATCAGAGGTTAAATGACTTGCTTATGGGTAAGCAGAATTTGAATGTAATTCTGTCCTGACTCCAGATCCAGTGCTTTTTCTTATTATTTTACATAATGCCTTCAAGTGTGAGCTTAAAAGGAGCTTAAAATATTGAAATAAAATAGCTTATACTCTACAGTTTAAAAAGTGCTAGACTTCTAGCAAAGTAGAAGAAATAAATTAGAACCCCCCCAAAAAACCTATGATACAAAATAGAACATGTATTATGTATGCATAACAGAGGTATAAAGAGCACTAGACATGGAGTTTGGGAACCTAGGTTTGAATTTCACATCTGCTACTTGTGTGACCCTGGGCAAATCACTTAATATTTCTGGCCCTCAGTTTCCTTATCTGTAAAATTGCGGGGGGTGTTGGACTAGGTGATGTTTAAGGTCCTTTCCAGTTCTAAATCCATGATTCTATGAGCCCAAATGTTATGAAAGATATGAAGAAGGAAAAGAAAGATGCTTCTGATGTGGTTGGCTTGAGAAAGGCTTTATGGAGAAGGTGGCATTTGTATTGGTCTAGAAGGATCAGGAAGTTTCAACAAGTATAGATGAAAGAGGTAGAGAGGGCTTTCCAGGCAGAGAGAATAGGAAAATAACATAAATAAAGACATGGGGGGGGTGTGTGTCTGTGGGAGAATCACAAGATATGTAGTACAGGAAGGCTGGAGCTAAGAGGGAGTGAGTGTTCGATAAGATAGGAAAAAGCAAGTTGGTTCCAAAACATGGGGGGATTTGAATACCAGTCTGGAGAGTTGAGACTTTATTTTCTAGGCCACTGGTTCCCATTTAGTGATTCTTAAACCCCTTGGGGGTTCACAAAAATGGTTCAAGGGTTTGTATGAAAATTCTTCTTCTTCTTCTTCTTCTTCTTCTTCTTCTTCTTCTTCTTCTTCTTCTTCTTCTTCTTCTTCTTCTTCTTCTCTTCCTCCTCCTCCTCCTCTTTCTCCTCCTCCTCTTTCTTCTTTTTGGAGGCAATAGGGGTTAAGTGACTTGCCCCAGGTCAAATAGCTAGTAAATATCAGAGGCTGGATTTTAACTCAGGTCCTCCGGACTCTAAGGTTGGTGCTGTATCCTGCCCCTATTAAAATTCTTTAATCACATCTTAATAAATAATTGTAAAGAATATTATGGATAGTATAGTAAATTACCTTGGAGGTTCACAACACTTTTCTTTTTGTTTGTGAATGGGGATTTCAGCACAACAAAGTGTTGGGAACTACTCTTCTGGACAATGCGGAGTCATAGAAGGTTTCTGAGGACAGCTACTTAGAAGCAGGTAGCTGGCATCTGAGTTCAAATCCTACCCCAAGTACTCACTAGTTGTATGACTCAGGTCACTAAACCTCTTTGTTCCTCAGTTTCTACATCTGTCAAATGGAGATAATAATAGCATCTACTTCCCAGGGTTATGGGAGTGACATGATCAGAGCTGTGCATTAGGAAGACTGTTGTTGTTTGTTCTTCATTTTCAAAGAGAATCATGACATCAGGAAGATGATGCCATGACTTGCAAATGAATTGGATTGAAGTGAGGGAAGGCTCCTCTGGAGCCATCTGGGTCCAGTGGCAAGACACAGATCAGGACAACTGGTGATGGCCCCCATTAGGAAGGTTACTTGGTCAGTGGAGTGAAAGATGAACTGGAGAGGGGAGATTTGATTAAAGTAAAGAGTCTAGCTAAGAGGGAAGGAGGGCTTGGGCTGATGTGGCAGGAGGGAGATGGGAAGGAATGGATGGATGGTAGAGGTCGAAGAAACCAAACCGAATATCACATTTTCTTTTATTCATCTGTATATTCTTCTTTTGTATTCCCAGCACTTAGCACCATGCCCAACACACAACAAGTGCTTAATAAACGCATGTTCATTGATCCTTACACAGGGGCTATGTTACTCTGCCCTTTCTTCTCTTCCTCATCTGCACTGCCCTATACCAAGGGTTCTACCCAGGGCACATTTAAATAGCACTTTACAGCTAGAAGAGAGACAGTGTGGTATAGGGAAAAGCTGGCCTGGGAGTGAGGAAGACCTGGATCCAAGTCTTGCTTCTGGCTTATATGGGCTGTGTGATGCCAGCAAGACACTTAGTCTCATAGTTCACTGAGGTAGCTCTCTAAGACTCAGTTGCAGAAAAGTTACTGATATGCATTGGTAGAGGGAGTTTACTCACTGGGAGTCTTCCATACCAGTAGAATGGGGAAGGGAGGGAAGAGAGAAAGGTTATAAAACACTTTACAAACTTTATCTATTTGATCTTCACAAAGAATCTTTTAAGTAAGTCATTTTATGGATAAAAAACTGAGGCCAAAAGTGGTTAAGTGATTTGTCCAAGGTAAAGACTTGAGCTCAGACCTGTCATCAAGGCTGTGGTGCTCTTTTCACTGCATCATTGCTATCAATTAACTATCAATTGTCTTACTTTCTGATTTCCTTACCTCACTTGTAGAAGAGTAATCTAAATAGAATAAGAATGGACATTTATGTAAAGCTTTTAAGGTTTACAAAGCACTTTACTTACATCTGAAGCAGCTAGTTGGCACACTGGATATAGAACTGGTGTGGGAATCAGAAAGACACATTTTGATGAGTTCAAATCCAGCCTCAGACACTCAGTAGCTGCGTGACCGTGGGAAAATCACTTAACTGTGTTTGCCTCAGTTTCCTCACCTGTAAAATGAGCTGGATAAAGAAATGGCAAACCAGTCCAGTGTCTTTGCCAAGAAAGTCCTAAATGGGGTCATGAAAAGTTGGACATGACTGAAACAACTGAACAAGTTACTTACATCATTTCATTTCATCCTTACACTCCCCCTATAAGGTAGATGCCACAGGTATTATTGTCATCCTCATTCTATGGATGCGATGCAAAGAGTTTAAATGGCTTTAGGATCACCCAATCAGTAAATGTGAGAGGTAGGATTCAAACACAAGCATCTCCTGACAGCAAGGTATACATTTGTCAACATACCACCACACTAACTTCTTTTCAAGTAATGTAATGATGGCAAAAACCAATCAATATTTGAAGAAGGAACTGTAATTTCATTAGTAGAAGGAGCATGGGATAATAGAAGGAGGGTTATTTGGAATCAATGGAGCCAAGTTCCATTTTTGGAACTTCTCCTGCTTGTTACCTATTATACCTTGTGGAAGTCACTTCCCTTTTAAGTCCAAGTATTTGCATCTGTAAAATGAGGGGGTTAATCCAGATGAAAGGTTATTAAGCTAGGATTGATGAGACTGTTTTTCAAAAATATTTTGACAATTCCATTTCAATATATTTGATTTCCTTTATAACCCTCTGTATTTTATTTCATGCATGTGAAAATATTATTATGAGAAGGAGCTGGTAGGCTTCACCAAACTAGCCAGGTCCAGGACACAAGAGTTTGAGAACCCATGATTAGGGTTGTCTCTAAGGTCCCTTTCAGTCCTCTCTGAAACAGTGATTATAACTTCTTTAGTGTGACAGTTTTCTGAGTCATCATGGTCCAAGTCATTACTGAGTTGCTGTTTTTCTGGTGATAATCTTCTCTGAACTTAGCTGGGCTATTTCTCTTTTAAGATATAGCTCCCACAGGCCATCATTCTAGGCCTATTCAGTTTGGTTAAATCCTCCAGAGCCCATACTATACGGGCATAACTTTTGAGAACCAAGGGTCACCTCCTAGCCACATTGAAGCTTCAGTCAAGGACTTAGCAGAAAAAAGTGGTAAGTGGTTTCTGGAAAACATCCTTGAATTCTCTCCTGGAAAAGCTTGGACATTGCTTAGATTCAGGATAAAGAGTATTTGTTTGTTTCATGACTTCCACTACTTCTGCAGGGACAAACTGGACATTTATCTGCAAAAGAAGCCATTTTCACTGGTGCCCTCTGGTTGCCTCACAAATAACCTGCAGTTTTTTTTCCCTCTGTCTGCAGACAAAACTGCTTGGAGTTTTACCCCCTCTTCCTGGTCACCTTCTGGATGGCTGGATGGTTCTTCAACCAAGGTAAATTAAAACTATGGTGATATTTCTGCCTAAATGATGGCCGTGGTATTTTATAACCTTTTGGAATCATCATACCGTTATTCATTTTCACCCCCTGGAAATCATTAAAATGACTTCCAACAAAATGAGGAACAATTTTTTCCCTGCTTCCATGTGCCACGAGATACTGAGAATTTGCTCCAGTTTGTCTGAACCGCAAGGACAGATTTCACTGGTGACAGATTGTTCTCTTGTACATTAAGGTTAGATAATGAACATCTGGAATTGTATCTAGAAAACAGGTCTCTAAAACAGGGTATAGCTGCAGGTACCTCGTGTGTGACTTCTTTTCATAAATGTTCATAATTTAATTGAACTCAGTTAACATTTATTAAGCACCTATTGAGATGTTTCAGATTCTCTTCTATTTTTCTAGATTCATTATTTTTTTTTTTTTTGCTTTTTAGGCAACTGGGGTTAAGTAACTTGCCCAGGGTCACACAGCTAGTAAGTGTCAAGTGTTTGGTCTGAGGCCGGATTTGAACCCAGGTCCTCCTGACTTCAGGGCTGGTGCTCTATCCACTGCGCCACCTAGCTGCCCCTAGATTCATTATTTCTTGATGTCTTATAATGTCATTCCATTCTTCTTGCCCAATTCTAGTTTTCAAGAAATGATTTTCTTCTGCAAGATTTTGTATCTCTTTTTCCGACTGGCAAATTTTTTTCCCATAATTTTCTTGGATTGATTTTATTTTTTCCCCCCTAATTAAAAAAAAAGCACCCATTGTGTGCCAGGCAATGTGCTAGGCAGAATGAGACAGTCCTTGCCCTCAAGAGTTTACATTTTTCTTTGAAGACATGCACACAGATTAGATTAGCTAAAGCATTTATTAAGGCAGGACAGATGGGTCACACAGTGGGTAGAGGACTAGACTGGGAATCAGGAAGAATTATCTTTATGAGTTCAAATCCAGCCTCAGACGCTTATTAGCTGTGTGATACTGAGCAAGTCACAACCTTGTTTGCCTCAGTTTTCTCATCTGGAAAATGAGCTGGAGAAGGAAATGGCAAAACATACAAAATAACCCAAAGTAGTTTTAAGAGGGAAAGAACGTTAATAACTGATGCAGAGCCAGAAAAAGCTTAGCATAGGAGGTGGAGCCTAAAGTGTGACTGAAAATAAGCTAGGGATGGCAAGTGACAAAAGATGTAGAGTGATTGATTGTATGTCCATATCAGCTTTACAGTGGTGGCCTTGCTAAGGGCATCTCAGAGAACCAAGGCTTCTACCAGGAAGTTCTGTCTGCCACTGCGATGGCAAGGCAAACCCAGAGTCATTAGTGAGCAGCAAGGGTGTGCCAGATGTAGTGCTTTACCTGGAAAAACCTGGCTTACTTCTAGGCAGACTTAGTGCCTGGTCTGGCTGACAATCAGTTGAGGCAAATCCTCCATTCACCTTTATTTTGGATAGTTTTAGATGCTACATTCAGGACTGACCTATGTTTAATCTTTTTCTGTTCTTGTTCACTCATTTCAATTGTGTCCAACTCTTTGTGACCCCATTTGTGTTTTTTTGGGGCATAGATCCTGGAGTGTTTTGCCTTTCCTCTTCCAGCTCATTTTGCAGATGAGGAACTGAGGCAAACAGGGTTAAGTGATTAGACCAGGGTCTAGGTCTAGGAAGTGTCAGAGGCTGGATTTGAACTCAGGTCTTCCTCACTCCAGGCCCAGTGCTCTATCCATTGGGCCACCTAGCATGTGCCTCATGTGCACATCAGTTGGAATGTATCTAAACACTTTGCAAATCTCAGTGCACTCCATAAGTGTCATTTATTGTTTATCACTTGCTTACGATTTTCCTCACAACTAATGAGCTTTACATGCAATTCATTTCATAGAAATACTTTCCTTTAACCTTCACTCACCCTGTTGCCCCTGGAGACTTAAATGAAAAAGGCTATCCCATCTGACCAAATAGCATTTCTGAATAACAGCAATCAGAAGAATAAATAGGAACAAATATTTGTTGACAATGCAAATTAGGCCATTTCTTCTTTGAGCTCGTTTTTTTTTTAAAGGCAATTGGGGGTTAAGTGACTTGCCTAGGGTCACACAGCTAGTAAGTGTCAAGTGTTTGGTCTGAGGCCGGATTTGAACTCAGGTTCTCCTGACTTCAGGGCTGGTGCTCTATCCACTGTGCCACCTAGCTACCCCTTTGAGCTCATTTTTATCTTGTGTCTATACTTCTTGTGTCCCCCATTAGGATACAAGAATCTTTTGGGTAGCTAATGTTCCATTCTATGTGCTTATATCCCCAGTGCCAGTGCCTAGTACAATGCCTAGCTCAGAGTTGGTACTCAAAATATTCATGTCGATTGATTGATCACAAATTTTCCAAGTTGACATCAAGTTTCCCCTCCTCCACTTTTACTGGACTAATTTTTTTTTTCTTTCCAATGCCTCCTTTCAGGCTGATAGAACAGTGGACAAGTTTTTTCCTTCACTTTGAAAGTTGAGGGTTAACAGATCCAGAATCCAAAATGTTTGTTAGCCAGAGTGTTCTGGAAATCCTCAGGGTTGCTGGGAAATTGAGGCCATCCAACTTAAAATGCAGAATGAGACATAGTTTAGGATATGACCAATGAGGGGATTTGTTTCACTAGATGATGAGTATTTGTTTTGGGGATTTTTTTTCTTTTTCAAAATTGTTCAATTGTTCAATGGGGGTTAGTGGGAGGGTGAGAAAATAAATGCTTATAATCATTAAGAGAGAAACAAATATGATGTTAATAGGAAAAAAGAGAAAGGAAGAAAAGAAAGAAAGGAAGGAGGGAGGAAGCAGGAGGAAGGAAGGAGGTAAGGAAAGAAAGAAGGAAAGGGGGAAAGAAGGAAGGTTATTATTAGGATATGAATTGTTTTGGAAGATCGATGAAATTAAGGGTAAAATTACACCCAGTTTCAAGATTGTCATAACCTTTCTCCCCTCTGATTTTGCCCCCTCAGTCTTAGCTGCCCTTTTTGGCCTGGCATACCTATATGCTCGGCACCGATACTTCTTTGGATATTCAGAGTCAGCTAATGAAAGGTAAGAGACCTGAACCTGCCTTGTGGGTAGTGGCAGAACGCTTCAGGGAAGGGGCTGGGCCAATCTCCTGCTGCTAGGTAGTGAAAAACACCTTCAGCAGTGGATTATAGTCTCCAACTTGGCCCATATTGCTCGGGGGTACAAATGAGTTTCTCCTATGTGAAACAAGTCTGTCTTGCCAGGTCAAATACTATTGTCTTGTGGACTTGCCCTGCTAGGATTGGGGTAGAAAAGCATAAGAATAAATCAAGAGGTTCTGGGAGGAGGCCTCAAGTAAAAATATTGACCCCTCTCACCTCTTTGCCTGTTGTGCTTCTAAACCTAGCAAAAATCCCTTGTGGTCTTCCAAAAGCTGCCAATAATCACACATAGGTCATAATAATCCTTTGAATGCTTTAAGTAAGCAATTAACCTTTGCAGACAGGTTCCCTCTTCAATTTATATAGCAAAACAAGTTTTAAAACTTCAGGAACATAAAAGCTGTGGAGTTTTCCCCAGTGAATCAGACTGGGCTTCTGGTATGACTAGCTATATGTATCAGCTAGTTCTCATACTGCAGAGCTGAAACTAGGAATTTTTACACCCAGAGCAGCAGAAACTGGTCCCAGGGCAAACAACATGAAATATACCCTCAAGTAGTGACCTTTGCTCCCATAGGAAGAGACCCTGAGACACTGAATACTCTTTTGGGGAGGCTGCCAAGAAGAATGGGGGGGAAGTTGAATTATGGGGCTCAGATGAGGGCAGAGAAGCTCATCTGGGCTATGGCCATATGAAGGAAGCAGGCTCTCAGGTGGCTTACTATTTGAACTCATTCTTTTTGCTAACTAGATACTAGCTCTATTGCTTTTTCTTTGGAAGGATTGCAAGTGCTTTCAGCACTTTCTAAATTTGGCACCCTGGATGGAGCCTTGGTTGTTCAACCTTAGTTACAGTTCTTCACCACTGTATTTGGCATTTCTCTCCCTCTCTCTCTCTCCTTATAAACAGGTTAACAGGCTTCCAGATGAGTATGAAAGTGTTGGCTTTGCTGATCATCCAGGCTACAGTGGGAATTGCTAACAACTTTCTGGATGAATACATGGACTTCAACATTTTCAAGAAATTATTTCAATTATTCTAGAAATTTTTCTCCCTTTTAATAATATCAAGTTTTTTTCCCACCCCCAGAGATAGACCAAAAACATGTGAAATCAAAATTCCCATGTTTGAATTGAATCATAGAATGATAATCCTGAGAAATCACTCAGCCCAACTCCATGTTACAGTGGGAGGAAACTGAGACCCAGACAGTTCATCTCTATTTTTGTTTTCTTGAGATGACTTTGGAAAAACATTCCCTTTCAGGAATGCTTAATTTAATTTAATTTAAATTAATTGCTTAATTTTCTAAGAACTATTATTTGTCCTTGCATATATGAGGGAGTTAAAAATGCTGAAAAATATACCTTGTTTTTGTTTTGTTTTGTTTTGTTCTTAAAGAAACTGTTGCTGAAGGACATGCTTGCATTGGGGAGAATCACATAAATAACATTGTTACCAGACGCTTCCTCTATTGTGTGATGTTGTGTTGTATTATAGTGTGTGTGTGTGTGTGTGTGTGTGTGTGTGTGTGTGTGTTTTTCCTCCTGAAGAAAAGTTCCTGACATATGGAATGGGCAGTTAAGCCTCTTTCATTTGTGGTGGAAAGGCACAGATGGCTGGCACATGGGGGAGATTAAGTAGATACTCCCAAGTAGCCAGGGCAAAGACTCATCCCCTAATAGCACATAACAAACTTGACAGAGAAAATATACTTTAGCTAAAAAAGAAAGGAGGTAGCAACTCACTTCCCAATATGTACCTATAGCCTCGAGGCAGTAGGTTCCCTACCCCTTGACCTAGAGAACTGAATACAGAGAATATTACCTCCATCTTCAACCAAAGGAAAGCATATCTAGATTCCTAAACAGTGAGGATCCTGGTGGATGCCCACTGGCTAGTTGTTGAATTGAGGCAATGGGGGCCTCTTCATGAGTATAACATCAATTTTACCATCCGACCTTATGTGACTTTGTGCCCAGCTGTGAAATGGGAAAAGCACCTTACCTGCCTAGGAGATCTCTAGTTCGAAGGTTTCATACACATAAACAGCATTTAAACATCAGAATTGAATGGATAAAAGAGTTCACCATCAAAGTTCTCCTGTACATTTTCAATCAGTGTGAGTGATTTTGAATTTGGAATGGTTCCTGTACAATGGAGAGAGCCCCAGATTTGTATTCAAAGAATCTGGGTTCAAATCATTCTGCCACTTACTACCTGTGTGACCTAGGATAAGTAATTTCCCCTCTCTGGGACTCAGTTTCTTTATTTGCAAAATGAGGGATTTGGATTACATTACATTTAAGGTCCCTTCTAATTTTCAATGAATGATTTTTGAGATGCCATTATAATAGCTTTTCTTTTCAGTTGGTTCAAAAAGGAATAGAGGGGTTAGAGAAAATCATTGAAAGAAATGAAAATGTATACATCATTTAATAGTATTTCCAAGTATATCAAGTCAAAGCATACAAATTCTCTCAAGGGCAGCTAAGTGGACAGAGTGCTGGACCTAGAATCAGGAAGACCCGAGTTCAAATTTGACCCTAGTGATGACTCTGCACATGTCAGTTAACCGTTAAACTCAGGTTACTCATCTGTAAAATGGTGATAGTAATAACACCTACCTCATAGGGCTGTTGTGAGGATCTAATGAGATATTATTTGTAAAGTGCTTAGCATGATGGATGCTATTATTATTATTATTATTATTATTATTATTATTAAGCTAACATAGTAGGCACTTGGTAAATTCTTGTTCCTTTCTCTCTCCTCTAGTCAGATGAGCCTGTTATTAGCAAAGCTTGGGGAAGTAGGGAAAGGGCGTGGGATCTAGTGTCAGGGGAGACTTGGCTTTTAATCCCAGCTTTTGAATCTCACTGTATGACCATGAGGTTACTTAATCTCTCTGAGTGTTAGTTTCCTTGTCTGCGTATTAGGGAGGCAGTATTTACTTCCTAGGGTTATTGGAAAGAAATCTGATGCCTCAGTTCCCAGGGCACTGAGAGGTTTAGCAGTTAAGCACCTTGTCCATGGTCCCTGAGCTAGCATTTATCAAGGGCCAGGACTTGCAGCCATGGTCTTCCTGACTCAGAGGCCAGTTTCTCACTACTAAACTGCAACAGGATTTGCAAAAGATGGAATTAGTAGGCTACAGCCATATTATGAAGATCCTTGAATGCCTGAATCAGGATTTATAATAACTTTTTATTAGTTTAGTGAGCAATGGGGAACCAGTGAAAGTTTTGATTTTATGAATTTGTGTTCCTCTAATTGGTGGTAGACTTTAAAGAGCTATCTTCATTTTGTTTTTAGGACTATATGACCCCTGGTTTGAAAGTGTGTGGTATTTTTTCATTAAGGATTAATATATTTCTCTCTGCAAAAGACATAAAAATATCATTTGTTTGGGTCATTTACAAAGTTAAAAAGTTGCAAGCATCAAACAAAAGAATTGTTCTTTTTCACCCCTAATTTGTTTTCTATTCTCTCCTAAATGAAAAATCCATTGTCCCAAGAGAACATGACCCAGATTTCAGAGCAGATCTTCAAGGCAATCAAATGATTGTATTGATGTGTGTCTGGACCCTTTGTGTGGCTCCAGAACTCTACGATAGAGCCTTTCTCCATAAGAAGACCTGGGGAGGAGAGGCTCAGAGATTCAATCTGGAGTGGCTTCTGTGATCTCTTCTGTCAAAAGGAGGAGAATGATAGTTGTGGCATGGCAACTATATGGTGCCACTGACCAAGCCTGTCACTTGAGCTATGAAAAGAGATGAAAAACAAACCAACCAACCCAAAAAACTAGAAAGTGGCATCAGAGGCATAAAAGACAGATAAGGGCCCAGTGCTGGTCTCTAGAGCCCCATTTATTGGCCTGCTGGTTTAGGTCTTAGAAAACGGGCATGTGGTGTAGTTACAGGTTCCCAGTTTCTCATTGCCCTTCCCCAGGGCTTGGCTGAGAGAACCCTTTCCAGCATCCTTTGCAAAGAGTGGTGCATTCTTATTAAGGGCCCAGCACACACAACATACCAGAGCAGAAAAACTTTGTCATGATCATTTAAAATAGCAGTTGGCCTATTGACAAATGAAGTGCCTCCTTCACACAGAGGCAGATGCCCCATGAAAACAGACATGCTGGTTTAAATATATTTCCCTGGGACTCTCTGAAGACAAATAAGATAGCATATGAGAAATCTCTTTGAGGAGCAAAAGTACTCTATTTGCCCAGTGTATAATAATGTTATTTTCACCAAATATGTATTAATCTGATTAACAGAAGCATTTGGAGCAAAGCAGACTTCAGTACTACATGTCTGTAATTTAAAGGGGAAGTGGGAGGGAGACTCTAAGCTTCCCAGAGCTCCAGATTTTTGGCTGGTCCTGTCAGCCATTTTTGCTTTGAGTTGATTTAATTTTTCCATTCCCTCTTGTCTCATTTAGATGATTTAGACCATGTGACAGAGAGTGTGCCCAACTTAATGTCCTCTGCAGCTGTATTTCCAACCTGTGTGTGTATCTGGGACTCTCCAGTCCTTTGTGAAATGCTCACTGATGTGGTGTGACAAGACGGCATTCTGACCCTTCCCCTATTCTTCCCCTCAACACCGCTGCTCGCCCTGTAGAAATCCTGCAGAAACTCAGTCCTCTTGTCGTTCCAGAGTCAAATACATTCTTTATAAAAGCTGCTTCCAGAGCCATAACCAGAGTGGGGCAACAGGAGCTTTATTCCAAGGCACCAGGTTAGAAGGTGCTATCACCTAGTTTGTGAGAATAGTTGAAATAGGAATCTACAAGACAGTAGGCTGGGATGAGTTCTTCCTCTGTACTAGCCTTCTGCAGATATTATCCCAGGATCTTTGTCTTTGCCTCAAAGGAATAGTGTCCCCCTCTTCAACTATGGTTGTGCTTCATGCAACTTGCCTTAAGTTTGAGTCTTACTGTTCTGGCTACTTTCCCCTCTTCCCTCATCCTGCCCCCACTAATGGTGATTCCTTTAGAGAGTGCTGGTGCAAATTTAGAAATGTAAAAATTCGTATTGGAATTACAAGGTTTGGGAACCATTGTTACCAAGCTGCCTGATAAATATTTAAATAATGATCCAAAAGAAATTTGAGAGTGCAAACTTCATCATCTCCAGTGACTTTTGGGAAGAGTCATGGAACCAGTTACATCACGTGACTCCCAAGTCAAAGCCCACCAAGATCGAGGGCAAGATCTCTGTTTTCCAACTTGGAAAGTTGGAATCCCAAGTGAAAATGCTGGCTTTGACACTTATTAGGTGTTATTATTTTGGTGTTAGAGGAATCACATTACTATCCAGAATCTGGATTTCCTCATCTAGAAATACTTACATAGCTCTACGACTTTACCAAGGGAAGTCTTCATCAGCACCAAACATCCCCCATTCATGCCTTCTAACCCAATGGGATTCTTTTGAATGTCCTTCTATATACTCCCCCTCCAACTGCTGGGGCCCTTCTTTGCTATCTGTTGATATCATTGGACCACAGATCTAGAACTGAAAGGCACTTTGAGGCCACCTAATTCAACCTCCTCATTTTATAGATGAGGAAAAACTGAGACAGTTAAGTAAATTGTCCAGGGTCATACAGTTACTGAATGTCAGGTGTGGAATTTGAACCCAGGTCTTCCTGATTTCAATCTGCTACATTATGTTGCCTCTCCAAAGCTTGCTTCAGGTCACCCAGGTAACAAGTGGCAGAACTAGCATGACAAGGTTACCATTGGAGCACATGGGCTGGTTGCTGGTTTTCCCCTGGCCTACTCACCTCGCCATACATGCTCATTGACTTTACCAATCTGTAAAATGGGGGTGAATGATCCTTTTGCTCCTTACCTTCAAGGGTAGTTGTGAGGGAAGCATTTTGTAAACCTTAAGGGGCTACAGAAATGGGAATTGTTCTCATTCCAAGAAAAGACACTTTGGATTGGTTCAGGTAACAATCTTTTATTTGCCTTTTTCTTTAAAAGTGGTCTGCCAACATCACTTCATCTCTACATTTCAGAGTTCTGTACAGTTCTTGGAAGGAAATATGCAGTGCTCAATGTACAAGGTAAAAACAGAAAACTAGAAAAATCTGAATAGAATGGAGCCAGTTGCCATCAGGTAATACAGTACAAATTAGTAATCAGATGTAGTCTGAAGTGTAATGCCATTGCAGTGATGATGAGTTAAGGAATGAAATAAAAATACTCTATTTTAAACAAACAGTATATATATATTCATATGTATATATTTTACAGATAGTAGACCCAGTGATATTTGCAGGATTGTAAAAACATATTTACAAATAACTTTTTTAAGACATTACATATACATCAGCACCGTAGTAAAAAAAAAATAATTAAAATCTACCTCTTGTTTAGTTGGTCCCAGTACAGAGTATTCAGAGGAAGCTTTTCGAAGATGATAGAGCCTCTGTCTCCATCACTCACTTTGAGCTT